CCCGCCACTGCCTCAGTTCAAGCACCCAAGCTCTGCATCGAGACAGCCGAGACAGCCAGCCAGCCAGCCACTGCGCTTCAGACTCCCCGCTTGTGCCAACAGCCTACCTTTGAAGCCCAGAACAGACTAGGCAACGCAGGCTGCCAGCCACCGCACAGCTGGACCCCGTCGTTCGAACTCCTCCTGCTGCAGAGAAGCACACGGCACGCCCAGCCCAGCGAACTTGCGCAGACTCTGTTACAGCTAGCGCCTGCTTTCAGAGTCCTCGTCCGTCTCGCCAAGTAGCCAGAGCTCCCAGGCTAGGCCAGCCACCGCAAGGCGCCTCTTTGTTCGAACTCCTCCTCGTGCCTCAAACCGTCCAGCCAGCCGAGCCAGCCCAAACCACCACGGCACCTTCCAAGCTCCGCCTTGAGTCGCACAGAGCCAGGCCAGCCTGAACTCACCAGCCACTGCGCAAGCGAGCTCTCCTCATCCGCGCCTCGTCGCCTGGTCGCCTCTTGGGATTGCACCGCGTCGCGTCGCGTCGCCTCGCGTCTTTCCTCGCTTCAGGGTTTCCCTCCGACGGCCGCTTTCGTCCAGGAAAGGCTTCAACTCGCGTAGCCTCTGCTTCGGCTGCTCGATCGCCTCTTTCCGCCGCCGCAAAGCTCAGCCAGCCCAGCCTAGTGCAAACTCGCTGCGCAGCCACAGCCTCCCGCGGGCCGTTCGAACTCCTCTCTGCCGCCTCGCCGCCTCAACCCGTGCTCAGCTCGCCGAAACGTCTCACGCCATGTCTCGTCCGGCCAAGCTCACGCTTGCCGCCTCGGTGCTCGTTTCGGGCCTCACGGTGTGGGGCGTGCACTACATGCAGGAGCGCGAGCGCGAAGTCATGTACCGTGGCGTCGAGCGCGACGAGGCGCGCCAGGAGGAGAAGCGCCGCAAGAGGCAGCTCGACCTCGAAATTAACCAGCAGAAGGAAAAAGAGTACCAGAAGCTGCAGCCCACCGCTGGTGCACAGGGGTCAAGTGCCAAAGGCACCTAGTGCCGCGTGAAAGTGTAGGCTGCCTGTAGAGATGTTGGCATACATATATGGGGGGTTCCCTCGATGATCCTACTCCCCCCCGTTCCTCATACTTTTTCGTAACCTCTCTTTCGAGTAGTCAAGTCTCGAGCTCAAGCTATCCGCAAGCAACACTCTACGCCTTTACGACTTTGCAACGATGTATGCCGATGCACGCACGGGTGGGGTCGGATCGACGAGCCGCACGGGGTGGAGTGCGGTGAATGCTGCCGGCGACACTGCCGCTGTGGGGTACGGAAGTCAGGCGTCGCTACGAGCGATCTTGGACTCGGCTGTGCGTCGAGAGGAGGCAGTGTCGATGGAGCAGCTGGGAGTGGGGCCGCACCGCAAGCCGCGTACCTTTGCGAGTCTGTACGACGTGGTTGCGCGCATCATGTGCACACCCACCACCGACGAAGCTGAAGAGATAGATCCGACTCGACCTCGATACGTATCGTTTGACGAGCTGCTCAGCACCACACACACCATCGAATCGCCTCACAACGTCGACGACCAAGAAGCCGAGCTTACGGGGCAGATGGAGCGACAGAGGAGGAGCAAGAGACCCCGCGGGGGGGTGGATGGACGGACTTAGGGCGCTGCGAACATACAAGCACGAGTGCGTGTGCTCCGGCCAGTACTGCTTCTGCTACGTGCTCAAGCCCAGCTTCACCAAGCGCGTCAAACCGGTGGCGAGACCGGTTAAGCTCTGCCCGCGCTTTGCACGCACGCCTCTTCCCGACTGGCCTGCATCGTCGGCTGAGGAGTCTTCGGCGGAATCGTCCAGCTCGAGTGGAAGACTTCGCCTTTCGCATTTGCAGCCGTTCCTGCGCGATCTGGCGCTGCTGTACGACGACGACGAGGATGAAGACGAGGACGAAGATGAAGACGAGTGAGGCCGGTGCTTTGACTCGCCGCACTGCTCACACATGCCAACGAGACAATACCTCCCCGTCACGACCGGAACAAGCTTTCGCAAAAACGAGCTTGTCCAACTCCTCGCACGCTGCAAGGCTGCGACTCGATCAGCCCTCGCGCTCTGCGCGCGTCGGCCGCTGTACCATACACTGTCGCCTCTATCCTGCTTTCTTTCCCATTTCTTTTTTGCTTCAGTCGTCTATCCCGCTTCCCGCTTGTAGATCTTTAGCTCTCGGTAGCCTCGTACGCCTCGCACCGCTCTCTGGACAATCACAATGCTTTTCCTCTGGGCCGTCGGCGCGACACGGCCTGTGCTTCAATCCTGTGTCGTGCCGTTCTCAATGACCATCGCAATGTTGTGCTGCAAACTGTCATTCTCTTGCGAAGCGGGTCGTGCATCGTCACGCATGTACATGTGATATTTGGATCCGCCGCAATGTGTGTTGCTCGGGCTTTCCATCGCACCGCATGGCCCACTAGAAGGTCTTTGTAAAGTCGTACAAGTCGGCGCTGTTGGAGTTGACCGACATGTCCTTTGCCCTTGCTGCGGCCTCGGGATTTCGCTTTGCCAAAAACTGCTGTCGCGCCCTCCTAATGTGGCCCAACCGCGAAACCCAGTTGCTCGAGTACGGCTGCATGGCCTCGCCCGTATCGAGGTAGATCTGGCTCGCCACGTTGCTGTGCAGCGCGAGCACACGCACAAACTGCGCCAGCGCATCCGCCGACAGCAGCTGCCCATCGCCCACGGGCGAAAACTCGGGCATCCCCACCCGTCGCTGCAGCGTCACCTGGTAAAAGATCGCATCGTCCGGATTCGCCGCGCCCAAATTCACCCCTCCGCGCGTCATGGGCGAAATGACCACATTGACGTAGTTGAATTGCCCCGCAATCGTGCCGAACCGATACGCCTTGCCCGACTCGTTGAACACAATGTGCACAAAGTCGTTGCCAATCAGCGCCTTCTTACTGCGTCGAATCGGATCCCGCTCGTCGTTGGGCATGAGCGTTGCAGTGTGGTAGACAATCTGGCAGATCTCGTCCGTCCACACGTACGCATGCTTGCCGTGCTCGTCGTTGTTCCGATCCAACCCGCCCGTGTAGACATCCTCCTGCCCGCGCAGCGAGACCAGATGGCCAAGACCCTGCAGGAAGCGCGTATACGCGCGCGAGCCGTGCCGGTTGCTCAGGATCGCCACCTCGTCTTCCTGCCCCGGCCCGACGTACAGCACGCCGATCTTGTGGAAGTCCACCACGGGCGTCAGATCGATCGCGCGGATCAGACGGTCCGTCGCCGGCTCGTCCGGCAGCAGAAGCGGCGCCGTGTCCTCAAGCATGTCCGGATACGTCGACAGCTGCAGCGCAAAGAAGCTCGGATCCACCTCGGCCTCCTTTGCCGACGCCCGCGACGCCGCTTTCGACCCGCTACCACCGCCAGCCTGCTCTGGGCCCAGGATGTCGCGCATCACCTCGCGCATGGCCAGCGAGCTTCCCGCCAGCGCATCGGTTCGAGCGCTACCCGAACCGGCCTCCGACGTGCTGAACGCTCCCGAGAATGAAGACGACCGAGGCCGCGATCCCAGCCCAAAGTGGGCCGGTCCCAACGGACGACGCGCGCGCAAGCGCTCGCTCACCTCCAGCCGCTCCTCGACGCGTCGGCGCAGCGAGCTCGCGTTCTTACCTTCCTTCGCCGCATCCGCATCTGGTTCTGCCGCCGCTCCCGCCGCCTCGTCCGGCACCGCACCTCCCTCCTCCGGAGCCGCGAGTGGCGGCTTGCTCATGGTGTCCGGGTTGCGGTTCATCATGAGCATCGCGGGCAGTTGCGCCTTGTCGCCGTTCTCATCCGTCAAAATGCCCGTGGGCACATTCTCGAGCTTGCACAGCATCGTCGCCGTGCCCGAGGGCCTGCGGATGACGATCTCGACCCATCCGGCCTTCTTGGCCGTCGACACGGTGAGCAGACCATTACCCATGAGCCAGGTCTTGGAGTGCCTCGCGCCGTCCTTGCCGCGCACCGATCCAGCCGTGGGTGCGCCCATGATGAGCTGGTTGACAAACGAGCGCTTGGGCTTGGACTCGGCGTTCGAGTGCGTAAAGCGCGCGAGGAAGTCAAAGCATACCTGCGTCTGGTCCGAGAGCGCGTCCATGCCCTCGTTTGCCTTTAGCAGGCCGCGCGAGATGTAGGGCAGGTACTTGGGCCGATCGCCCACCTTGAGGATCACGAACCACAGCGCAATATTGTAGAACGCCATGAGCATCACGTACTGCGAGAGCGAGAACGTGGCCGGGCTCGCGCGGTAGTCGTCGCGCGTCGCCGCCTCGGGGCTCTGGTGGTACTCGATGTACTGCAGCACAATGCTGAATACGCGCTTGTAATCCGTCTCCGTGAAGTTGGCGTAGCACGCCGGATGCTGTGCGACCGTGGCGATGAGCTCGAGGATGTGAACGCTCATGGTCATGTGCGAGCGCACCGCAGTGAGCGTGAGCAGCATGTTGGAGAAGAAGCGCGTGAAGCTCTTCTGCATCTCGTAGCACGCGATGGAGAGCGCCTTGATGCACGACCGCGCCGTCGTGTGCGACTTTTTGAGACCGCGAATGAACGCATCCACCATCTCGTCCTGCTCGGCGCGCGAAAAGAGCGTGCGGTAGCTGATGAGCGTCACGAGCATGTCGTACACCACCGCTGTCACATCGGTCTTCTTCAGATCGTCTGGAAGCACCACCTTGGGCAGGAGTGCATCGTCGAGGATACCCTGGCAGATCTCCTTGCGCAGGTGCAGCACCTGGAGCTGCGCCTTGGGCCCGCAGAACAGATGCTTGTTGCTCAGCTGGTGCGGCAGGTGGCACAGCAGATACGACACCACCTCCCAGTCCGGCTCTGTGCGCAGGATCTCGATCGCTGCGGCCAGGAACTCGGACACGGGGATGGGCGCCGGCACGCGGTCCTTGTCGCTGTGCAGGTGCGTGTTGCCGGCGCAGCACTCCATGTCGCTGCCTTGGTGGATGTAGGTGTAGATGATATCGCTGCGGAGCGAGATGCTGGGCATCTCGAACGAGACCGCCTGCGGTAAGCGCCACATATGCTCGTACGTCGCTGGCCGTACCGCCCTCTGCTGGCTGCTGCTTCGGTCTCGTGGTTCGGCCTGACGTCGCGCTGGCTCGCTGACGCGTTCGGCTCGTCCCCGTTCGCGGGACAATTCCCGCAGGCGAGACTTGGACCTTGCTGCTGCCTCTGCATTGCGTTGGGCCTCGCGGCCCTCGCGCTCGTTCCGGGGCGCGGTGCCCACCTTGGAGCCGGCTCGCGCGCGCGCATCTGCGGTGCTGCCCGCCTGCCCTGCCTGCTTGTTGGCACCGGATTCGGCTTCCGTGTCCCTGGGACCTTTCATCAGCACTGTAGCGCTCTCGCTGATAAGTTCGTCCAAGTCGCCCGCTAGGTAGACACGGTGCTGGCGATCCGTGCGGAAGCGAAGCAGCCATTCCAGTATGACGAGTCTCGTCGAGGTGCACACGGTGCCACTGGTCGCCGCTGCCGAAGATGCTGTCGTGGACCCCGCGCCTGAGGACTGCCTGACTTTGAGCAGCTCGAGCAGGTCGCGGAAGATGGCGATGCAGCCCGCACGCGTTTTCTTTTCCCACTGCTGACGGATGGACAGGTCGATGTCGCGGTCCACCGAGTTGGCAATCCACGGCGTGCTGAACGCCATGCGGTTGAAGATGGCGATCATGTCGAGCGCCGCATTGCGCGCCTTGCCCTCGCTGGCCGAGGAACCGAGCTGCGCATGCGACGGCGACTTGCCCTCTTCGTCATCCGCCGTACCAGCAGGAACATCGAACGCCACCGCTTTGTGCGAGGCAGAGCGCGCGAGCCGGCACAGCAGCTTGCGCACCTCGACGAACACCTCTTCGAACTCGGAGTCGGACTGATCCTTCTGCTTGCTCGCCACCGCCTCAGCGTCCGGGTCGACGGGACCCGGGATCTGCGATCCGCTGAGCACGGCGGCGTGGACAAGCACCGAGCGGATCAGCGACTCGGTCCGTGCGTCCGTCTCTGAGGAGAGCGTGGAATTGGCCAGCGGCAAGACGATCTCGGTCATAAAGAGGTTGCGCTCGGCGTTGAGGTCTTGTACCGCGTTGTAGACGTGGTCGAAAACCAGCGAGACGAGGTCGTATCGCGCGTTGGGCTCCGACTGGCCCTGCGGCGACGTTGGCACGTTGCGGTAGAAGAAAGCCTGTAGGAGAGCGCGGATGTTGGCGAGCCAGTCTGGATTGCTCGGCAGGCAGAGGTGCTGCGACCAGTAGTACTGCACGAGCTTCGAGACGGTGGCGTCGGGCAAGATGGGCGAAAGCGTGAGGAGGAACGATGCTAGCTTTGGGCTCCACGGCGGCGACGGCGATGCTGCTGCTGACGCGCTTGCTTCGCCGCTCTCTGATGGGCGCCTATTCTCAGCATCCTTGGCCTCCGAAGACGCTCTTGGCGGGTGTGCGATGTTGACCTTGTCCAAGAGCTTGAGCATCGCCATGACCGTCGTCGTGTGGGTGGCGGAAGTGCCCGTGGCAGACTCGGCGGCTTCGGCCGAAGCATGCAACGACGCCGATCCGCTGAGACCGGAGGAAGCGCTGAAGAACGAGCTGCTGAGCTTGAGGCCTTCGAGGTGCCTCTTAGCATCGATGGTGAGTTCCAGCAGAGCGTCCCAGTCGGAGCGGGCAAAGGCTCTGTCGCGCGTGTCTTTGCTTCCTTGCGAGTTGGAGCGGTCTGATGGCGATTGCTTGTCGCCTGCGATGCGTGCTTTTGGTGCCAAAGCCTGTTGGGCAGCCGCCTGTGCTGACGGGAGAAGATCCGAGATGAGCAGCAGCACCTCGAGGTCGAGCACATCGCACTGGCGTTTGAGGGCGGCGCGTAGCGCGGGCGTGATGAGTGCGAGGGAAAGCGTGGGAGCAAGCGCATCCTCCTTCTGCGGCTTGGACAAGGCGTTGGAGGCGG